CTGTACCAGTGTACATCCTCTGGTCTAGCCAGACATGCAAGGTAGAATTCGGATCATGATAGTGGGGAGGGGGGGAGGGAATAAGAATAATAATTCACTGCCATTGTGTCGATAATAACTCATAGCTATGTTATAGGACAGAGTAGAATTGTCCCTCTGAGTTTCAGAGACTATTACTGTTCACAGAATAGAACTACTGTCTTTAACTCACAGAGCAGCTGGTATCTTGAACTGCTGATCTTTTGGATTATAACCACTACTCCACCAGGGCTCCTAACCACATTATAAGATACTGCTTCTATGCAATATCCAGAATGGACAAATACACAAAGTAGCTTAGTGATTGTTTAGGGGTAGAATGGGGTAGGGAATGGATGGGACAACTGAAACTGACAGATAAGGAATCATGGCTTTTTTAGAGGTGATAAAATATTCTAAAATCCATTGTGATTTTTAAAATGAAGAATATTATGAACTGTCTACTAACAAGCTTGATGAGGGAAATGCACAAATTCTTAGCAGCACATGATCTACCTAAACTGATCTAAGAACAAATACAAAAATCACAGTAGACCCATGACAGGTAAAGAGATTGAATTAGTAATTTAAAAAACCATCCAACAAAGACAGTTTCAAAAATTCACAAAATACTAGCAAACTAAGTCATTGATGAAAAACCACCCTACACAGATGTCTTTGCTCCAGAGTTCTACCAAACATTTCAAAAACCGACACCAATCCTGTTTAAACTCTTGCATAAGAGTCCTATGAGCCCCTAATAAAACAATTTTTAAAAAAGAGATAGTATTTCTATCTAATTCATTCTTCAAAACCAGCATCATCTTCATGGTAGTCAGACAAGAAAGTCTTGTAACTGCAGAAGGAAAAATTCTCCACAAAATATTAATGAACAGGAAAACAATGATACATCATGACCAAGTGGAATTTATTCTTGGAATGCAAGGGTGGTTCAACATTTTAAAAATTCAATAAATATAATACACCACAACAATAAACAAAAGGAAACAAACAATATTTCAATTGACATAGGAAAAGCAACTGATAAAATCCAAAGAATTTCCTTGATAAAAGCATTCAACAAACTAAGAACAGAAGGGAAGAGCCTCATTATAATTTTAAGGGCATTTATGAAAAACAATAGCTCACATCATGCTCACTTGAGAAGTTGAGAGCTTTCCGCTTAAGATTGGGAACAAGACAAGGATTTTCACTACCTATGTTAGGATGACTTTCTAGAGAAATAAGACCAATGACACCTATACATAAATAAAACAAAGGCGTTTATATCAAGAAAGGAATCCACAGAGCCACAAGGTAGGAAGCCCTGTCCAACTCAAAGCCTTCAGGTAAGATGCTAGGTGGAGGCCCTCGCCACCTCATGAAGCTATCAAAGCGAGGAAGTCCGCAGGTCGGAGGAAGTCCGCAGGTCGATGGAAGCAGAGTGGAGAGGATTCAAGGTTGAAAGGCAATCTGGCAAGCCACGGACAGCTCCCAGGGTCAGCAGGCTGCAAGGTGGCTGTCATCCCAGGGAGCTTTACACAGGTTGCAGGCCAGCAGGGAGAAAAGGAAAAGCCAGTTCTGCAGCGTCTCTTATGGATTAAAACAGGCCATAGCCTCAAGACTGTGACTCAATATTGAGCCTGGATTCCACCCAGACATTCTTACAAGTACAGCTATGCTGACACAAAACCTATCATACTACTATTATTCAATTTATGCTGGATATCATAAACAATATAATAAGGAAAGAAAAAAAGTATCCAAACTGAAAAAGAGAAACTAAAATGATCTCTATTCAATAATAACATGACATTATGTGGAGAAAAACTCAAAATATATAAAGAAAGAGCTCTTATATCAATGAGAAGAATCAAGCTAAGTTTATGGGTACAAGGCCAGGAACAACAACAGTTCGATTTGTATACATCAGTAATGAAAAATCTAAAAGGGACATTGAGAAAACAAATCTATTTATAATAGCATCTAACATAATATTTATATATTAATAAAATATATAAGAATAAATTCTACCAAGAATGCTGTTATAACTGAATTGTGTCGCCCCCAACATGTGTCCTGTAAATCCTAACTTCTATGCTTGTGCTAAAGGAACCCTGGTGATTATAGATTCAATGCAA